CATTAGATAACCATCTTCTTTAGCATTTCATGAAGCAACTCTTTCTGCTTGTAATCTCCCTCTAAGGCATTCTACAGTTCTAATTGCATCTTCTCCCCCCATTATCTTCTCACTGAGATGAAATCTTCATAAATAGGAAAATACAGTTGTAATCACAAGAAAATAAACACAGGTTAAGTAAGAAGACATCATTGGTAGTATATGACCAATGATAGCATTTTGGTTCCACTACTTTGATTAAATTTTAGAGCCTTTGTTTATATTAGAAGCAAATGAGGTGATTATTATTATTAAATCATTGCTTGGAAAAGCTAATGGCAAAGAAAACTGTGTACAAACCTGGGATTAGTTAGAATAGTTACATCCATTATGTTTAAGAAAAGGTTCGTAATAGAAGGCAAAGCTCTTTTTCCTTCATAAGCTTCAACACCCACATTTAAATGCTCAAATCTGACCTCAACTGAAGGGATATCAATGGAGACCCTGGTAGAGTCAAAAATATATGTAAGTCATGAAACAATCAAAACTAGAGAAAAATGGTACATTCATGAGCAACATGTTCTGTCTTAACTATCAATTTATCTTGTCCATTTTGACAAATACCTGTCAATGCGTTCCTTAAGTTTCAATAAGAACTTCTCATTATCTCTTTCTGGGACTTCGATTAACCTCTCAAGGATTTTTTTCTTTTCATCACATCCTATGTTCTTAATATCAACTTCACTGGTCTCACCTAATGACCCAGTAATCAATCCCTTCTTTTCATCACATCCTATGTTTAGAACAATTTAGAGACATACATGTGTGATACCATAAATTAAGTCAAACCAACCAACAAAGTCGAAATATGTGTGTGTGTGTGTTCTGACTTCTAACCAAAAAACAGTAAAAAACTAAAAACTAAAAATTAAAAACAAGTAAACAACATACGGCGAAGGCGCAACACTGGTTCGAACTTCGAAGTAGAAGAAAATCCGGAATGGAAGAGTAGAAGCCTCAGGACTGGTTCACTACGGCGGCCGTTCCATCGCAGATAAGAAACATCATATTAGATTATTAGGTCGAAGAGAGCACCCCAAACTTGTGGACTGAGCCAAGAGAAGAAGGATGTCCTCGTCATTTGGAGGTAAAAAAAGTCAAAATAGCAACTTGTTTTTACTTGACTTGTAGTGACGAACGTATAATCGCCTAGGCGGACGATTTGTAGGTGACTTCTCGGTCTCAGCTGAGTAATCGGCTGAGCGATTACAGAGGCGAATACCTGAAAGTCCCTACGGGAGCTGTCCGACAAGTGACTATACGGCGCCTAGGCGGCCGATTTTGACGATTTTTAGAACCATGATTTTAACTGATCTAGTTGGTATAACTGAACAGAGATATTTTTTCCTTAAAAAGAAAAAACACTAGTCTTAAGGCATAAACACAAAAATATATGAAAATATTAAACAAATTTAATTTAAGTATCTCTATACTGTTAACATATTGCTATATATTACTGATTGCTCCTTTTAAAGGCTTTCTTATCCCTTTTAAACTATTACACTCTATTCTAACTCTTTTTAAAATTTGTCTCCTCTAATTTTCCATAATTTTTATTTGAGAGAGCATATACTAGTACTTTTTTTAAACAAGAAAACAAATGGCAGATATAATAAGAAAGCAATATTTGATTTAAAGTAGGAATAAACAAAAACTCAGTTCACCCCCCAGCAACCCTGCCTTCCAAAAAACATATGCTCTTAGACAACCACAAGTCAAGCACTAAGGCATTGACTGTATTTATAAAATTAGAATCAAATATGCACAGTATTTGGCTATACCTAGTTGCTATAAAATTAAAAGATGACTCTTACTATGTGCACCTGGCCGTAATTGAAAAATGAGGGTTGAGAGATAACGGGAAATAGTGAAAATTAGCTAATTAACTCTTTTCCTTGTGGTGCTTAATCGTAAAAGATTGAGAATTTGAAGCTACATTCATTTGAAAATCTACGGTATTTTCACAAACATATTATAGATATAATGAACTTGTATAGAATTATTATTGACAATTTTCAAACAAACTGAAATTTAAAGAAAATTGACAAACCCAAGAACAAAATTGAACCGTAAGTGTAATTTTCTAAAATAGATATGTATACATATAGACACATAGAGGACATATGTGATAGAACTCTAGCGCCTAAGGATGATTGGTGGAGGATGATTGACTCACGGGGAACGGTTGTATGTGATAGAACTCTAGCGCCTAAGGATGTAAGAAAGAGTAGGGATACCGTGGGGTGGGGTAACACCATGGAACACCGGTGGTGGTGGAGCTGCGGCGTCTAGATCGATCTTCGTCGGAACAACGGTGGTGGTGGAGCTGCTGCGTCTAGCTTTGTCTTCGTCGGAACAGGGCGATGGAACACCATGGAGGAGAAGCGGTAATGGAGCTACGACATCTAGCTTTATCTTTGTCTGAGTCAAAGTGGTGGAACACCATGGATGACCAGCGGTGATGGAGTTGCGGCGGCTAACTCCGTCTTTTCCAAGTAGGGTTTCGATTTGGTATAATCTCTTCTATTTCTATCGTGAAGCGTCTATTCATCTAACTCTAGATAAATTCTTTCGATAAGGGTTTTCAATGAACAGACATAGAAAATAACTTTCTTTAAATACAAAAAGGACTCCGAATATCATTTGAAGTTACAAAAATTATAAATGTAACCCCATTTCAACTTTCTATGTCCGTTTTAAAAGCACCCGTTATAGATTAAGTTTTATACTTTTCATTTTGACCCATCAAATTGAAATGTATCTTTCACTATTTACGAATTAAGCCCCTGCCTACATACTATTACAGTTATTCATGAACCCATATAAAATGCTAGTTATAAAATGTATATTTTGCACTAGTGAAAATTTTGCCTCTGAAATATTTCTAAAACACTATTCCCAACCATAAGCAATCGTAAATGTTGTGCACTCCACCAAAGCAATCGTAAATGTTGTGCATCAAAAGAAACATTGATGACACTTTCTTTCGCTTTTACGGGGCAAACTCTTCAATCTCTCAATGCACACAAACTTTTGGTATGCTTTTAACTTCACAATTGTTCTAAACCTTGTTTCAACATAAACACAAGAGTTTATGCTTTTAACAAACATAACAAACAGAAAAGGACGTTGTACAGTTCAATGAGTTCATTGTCTCACTTTTAACAATTAGAGTAACTTAGTGCCTGCTAAAAAATTTGGTTAGCATAAAGTGTGAACATCTCTTGCCAGAGAATCAATTGTTTCATTCAAGAAGCATTAGTATTCTTATAATTCTAGAATTCTTAACAAATTATATTCACAATAAGCTCTCAGTCACATTCTAGCCAAACAATCTTAATGCAATATCAAGATAAACACACTAATATATATTTCATTCATTCCAAATGAATGACATAATTTACTTGAAAACACCATGAAGGCAACTAAACTCATTTCAGCAAGAATGTGAAAACAACCCTAATACAATTTCCTCCAAAGACAAAAAATGCTAGTTTTCTCATTAAAAGGGGTGAAAAAGTGAAGAAAGTTGCAGAACAGTATGTTGAGGCTGCATAGAATCTGCCTTCAAAGTAAAGAAGGTGATTATAATCAAATAAATTGGCAAAGAGAAACAATGAAAATATGAGCTTCATAACTTATAGTTTCCAAGCTACTCAAATTAAAATAACGAAGAAATCCAAAAACTTGAACATATGATTTGAAAACCATGGAATATATATAAAATTTAATCAAAATCAGATCATCAGATTTAGAGCTTAAATTCATAAGACTCTAATTTCGAGTCAACCCAATTAGATAAGACAACGATCAGAAAAAAATCTGCAATTCAAAATTAATTTTGTTTGGGGAAAAGTCTGAAAATTAATTTTATAAATTTGCCTTAAATGTAAAACATTAAAGAATTTGTCATAATTGAATTGAAAATTGAAAATTCCTTTTAAAAAAATGATTTGAAAATTGACTAAATTCAAATAAGAGGAAAACGCATAACCTTTATGAAATCAGAATCCATCTGGGAGCTTATCCTTCATCTTCGACCTTGCTCTGATAGCTTGCTGGAGCAGAATAATTTTTTGATCGGAATCTCCTTCAATCTTCAATCGTATATGAGAGAGGTGGACTGGTGCGGGCGAATAGAAGCGACGGAGGTTAAGAGGTGCGGCGGTGGGAGATGATATTAATCGGTTGAAGGAGGGAAGATTCCTCACTCCCGGTGATTCCGGCGACTGGGTAATCGTTATCTAGTCGGAGGTGAAGAGCTGCGGCGGTGGCTGCTTGGGGTGGCGCTGGGGTGTTTGCAGTTCGCGGGTGATGCTACAAGCCACAGATGAGAAGGCGGATGAGGATGGGGGTGAGGAAATTTCATCTTTTCTTCTTCGAATTGAGAAAATTTCAATTGAGCAAATTGAGAAAATTCTGAAAAGTGCTGATTGAGAAGAGAGATGTGAGAAAGTGAATAGAAGGCCATGAATTTCTGAGAAATGCCGAGTGAGAAAGAAAAGAAATGAACCGTACAGATCTCATCTAAATTAATGGTGAAGATTGATTTGTATTGCTATTAAGTATAAGGGATCGGATCTGGTTGGTTTGTTCACTTTCGAAATTAGCAAAGGGACCTCCGTTTTCTTAAAATTAAGATAAGAGGGTCTCATGTAATTTTAAAAAAGTCGAATTGTGGGGTAGATATTGAATTTGATAAATGGAGTGTGAATAAAATATTAATAATAAATTGTAACGGCTCAAATAATACCAAATATAATACTATTTCCGTTCTGGTGGACTTTGCAAATGCAAAGTAGGTGAGAAATAAGAAGAAAAAAATTGTGTGGTTGAAATTTGTGTAGAGGAAAGAGAAATGTGGAGAACTACAAATCAGTTGCTTTAATTGGAAAATAGCAATTTTTTTAGACAACCAAAAAGAAAAAGTGTGAAGATGTTGATCAAGATTTCATCACGATGTTTCACAAGATGTTCTGTTGCCAAATACGAGTAATATATACGGAGTAATTACAAAGTAGCAGAGCAACTACAGTAATTTATATCTAATCAAATTCAATATTAGGCGCGCTTAAAACTCGCACAAGATATGAGGAAAGATCTCTTTTGCGGTTTTGCCCGGAAGGTGTTCGATCAAAAGCTCGATAGAGATTCAGGAATTCACACATAATTCTTGACGTACTCGAAATTTGAGCTCATCACTTTAAGAGGAAAGAGATGTAGAAGAAAGAGTACGAGAGGGCGAGGAGGGACGTGAAACCTGCATAAAGGGCAAGTATGACAAAGGGGTGGTGATCTCAGCAACCAGTTGGAGATGCAATTTACATGGAATATGTGATCACATGGCAACAACATTGCTCCATTACCCCGCGCTGCCTTGTGCCAATGCTCCTCCGGGCCCGGGAGAAGCTCGTCCAGACATTGGAGGCGAACCATCGTAAACTCGGAGGACGAGGGTCCGAAGTTCTCGAAACAAATTGCACATGTTTTTTCTTCTTCTCCTTCCTCTTCGTCACCGCCAAGTCGGAAATAGTCGTAGGCATCGGGAACTATCACCGGTAGAGGCATTGGAGACGATGGACTGTAAAAATCAAAACCATCGTCCCTGCGCCGCCGCCCCAGGCATTCTTCGAAACTCCTCATCAAGTCGTTAACTGTCAAAATTAAAGACAAATGTATAAAAACACCCACACCAACCGAGAACGATTTTGAGCATTTTTTATCGAGGATACTCAGTTTATCGTTCAGCCGATCTCGACAGTCGACTAACACAAAACGGGCGAAGCTTCTTAGTCCAGCCCAGCAGACCGCAGGCTCCAGCGGGGAGAGAATTTTTTCTGTAATTAAAGTGATGAATTCTTCTTCTTCTTTTTCGGTTCCTCTGTGGAGGATCTTCTTCAGGTCAATATTCTCCACACATTTACCACAAACGTCAACACAGTCCTCCATATTATACAGAAGCTTCTTGTTGCCGCGGCCGCCTTCTGCCGTAAGCCACCATGTTTTAGCATATGAAGCATTCCCGTCCAGATATATACTAACTAGAGACCTTTCAAGATCGGGATCATCTTCTGTGTCTATGTCCAGATTCCACCGCCACTCCAATGTGGTACGATCGTTCATGGTTGATCGCTGGCTAGCTGTTGATTGAACTAGAACAGATTAAGAATGAATTACTTAATTCGTTACATATAAGAAGCAGCGGTAGTATGTATTTAAAGTAGAAGAAAAAGATACATTCCTACTGCTCTTAGAATTTCAAAATATGCTAAATAGTTTCTTTCCAAAAACTATTGCCGGGTACGGCTGGAACAAACCCCCCAATTAATGAAACCGCCAATTCGTTTGGCTATTTTGGCTTCAACTCGTATCTGGCGCAAGAAGCAAGAAGTGGTAGCCAATAAAAAATCATCCAAACTTAAAAATCTTTCTTTTTTTAAAACTGTTATAACTTTTATATTTATAATTCAATTTTCAAAAAATATATATCAAAATTCATAATTTTGTATTACCTTTCATATGACACCAATATTCGATGTATAAAAATGAAAATAAATATAATATTCAAGAGACGTTGAGTAGAAGTTTTTTAGGCTACAAACTTTTTTAAGTAGGGATGTTTTTACTTGGACTATAATTCCTCTCACACTAGATCAGATCAGACCAGACCAGACTTGGATAGTTCTAAAAATACAAAGAAAACAGACCAGACCAGACTAGCAAATTACAGTCCAAGTAATTTTTACAACCCGTTTAGTAACGCTGGAATTGACTTAATCTGCTGATTCTGCTGAAATTTGTTAAATTATGGTTGAAGTGATTGGATTGACTCACTCTGTTGATTTACGAAAAATTATATTCAAAATTATTTTTATTAATAAGATAATTAAAAAATTATATGTAGAAATAGTTATGAAATAATTACATATCTATGACTAAAATGAACACTATTTTCAAATATGTGACTAGTGATTAAACTAGTAATGAAATCATAGTAACTCATGTTCAATTTTTATACTTTAGTAACTCAATGCTAAATTAAAAATGAATATCAGCTCAATGATTTAAATTCGTCATATCTCAAAGTGATTTTAATTATAATTACTTCAATAACTCTCTTCTTCCAATTTTATTACTCCCAAATACAAAGAAAAGCTTCCTCACTCTCCCCTCTCTTTCTCCTCCAACAACACACCTCCAAAACTTTCCCCTCCTCTTCCTTCCAAACTCCCAAACATACCCTTAGTTACTACAAACATACAAACATAAGCTGAAGGAAAGGAGCCAATAACTGATAGTCAGTAAAGGAGCCAATAAGTGATATTCCTTGAAAAGAGCCAATAACTGATATTCTTGAACCAAAAGCGTGGACTCCTATTAACTTGTAGTTATTTTAATTTTAATTAAAGAAATGACACATACGTTAGTGTTATTAGAGTTTCATTAAGCAATAATGGTGCGCCAAACAACACCTCTTATTTAATTAAGGCACATCAAAATATTCTCCAAAAATTTATGATTCATAATCCGTCTATCCTTTAAAACTTTGTCATCTTTAAATATTTTGGTCAAAGAAGTTAAACTTTGACCAATTCTATGTTTTTATAAGAATTTAATTACAATATGTAAATGATATTAAAAATTTCTTTGATTAAAATAATTGTAGTAGAGGTAACAATAGTAGAGGTACACGTATGAACTAGTTTGGTCAAAGAAGTTGAACTTTAATGGGATCCCAACTTTAATCTACCATTATACGTAGTATTAGCTAACAATAGTGGAGGTACATGTATGAACTAGTTTTGGACACACTCTTATATCACCTTCAATTAAAATTCTTAATGTTCCACAGAGACCACGACTCTATCGGTTACGTTAAGTTCTTAAAAAAAACATGACAGTCCTATTTTGGAATTTTGAAACTGTTTTAGTCATATTTCGGAAATTTCGCCCAAAAAATATGAATAGAACTTGTATGAGTTAACGGTTTTTTATATAATTCCCAAACTTTTTACAGAATTGAACGAGTCCTTGATTCTCAGCCCTAATTTTGGGGATACTTATACGGCTTCAAATTATCAAATCGTCATTTGGTATGATGATAGTATATTATGCTAATGGCTTATTCAAGAAAAATAATGTTCCTATATTATAGCTAGCTGAGCCATGAAAGAATTTCTGCTCACATTTTCTTTACCCATGTGCACCTTATCTTCAATAATTTTGCAGAGATTTATACGATTTCACATCAATAATATAATAATAACCAGAAATAGTAAATTCATTAATTGGTATGATAGCTTGTTATACTTGTATCTTATTCGCAGTTCCACTAAAACTCATGTTCCCAAACTATAGCTAAATAATACTCCCTTAGAATCTTAAAACTTTATCAAATTTGACCGATATGTGGGATTAATAAAGTAAATATTGCGTGGTTGAGATTTGTGCAATTGTGCAAAAGAGAAATAATTAATTGGGACCACAAATCCTTTATTTAAAAGAAAAAGTGACAAAGTTAGTGAGACAACTAAAAAATAAAAAAGAAAGTTGATAAAATTTTAGAGGACAGATGAAGTAATAAAAAATTGCCTCGCATTTTCAGTAGTTTCCACAAAGTCATAAAAAATTCCACCTTTATATGTGTGCCATAACCCTTTTTTTCATTTTTTAAGTTGTATTGTTTCTGCCACAAAAACTTGTTTAGTTTGTCCCACAAACATATTTTTCTGTTTTAGTGATAATGCACATCTAAAAAATGTAAACATGAATGAGCTTAAGAGCCCGTTTGGTGACCCCTTTTTTCGGCTTATCAGGCTTATCAGTCAGCTTTTTCACCAAACACGTAACTTTTGATTTCGCGCGCTGAATTTTGTAACTAGCAGAAAAAGTAAGGTTGGAGTTACTTTTCTGGCTGTATCGCGTGAAGTTGCTGTAGAGAACCATTTTAGCTATTTTTACATATAATTTTTTCTTTATTTTATTAATAAAATATATTTTAAATTTAATTTTTTCATGAATCAGCAAAATCAGTTAATACAGCCACTTCATCCAGAACTTCATAAATTTCAGCAGAATCAACCGATTCGGCCGATTTCAGTGTTATCAAACGGGTTCTAAGTACACAGGGAAACTAGACAGTCGTGTACCAAACGACAAACGTGTACACGTTTGACGTCAACATGAAGCACCGTTGGATTTTCTTTAAGTATTATTTTATTTCAAAAATTTATCATTATTTGCAATTTGGCAATGTCAATCTTATTATTTTATTTATTATTGTAATAACTTCCCTTTTCCACTTTTTATTTACAACTATTTATTAAATTATCAAAGAGATTCAGTATGATGATGATTGAAAGACCACAATCTCTATACTAGCTACCTCCGTCCTAAGATTCATATAAGAGGGTGTGATGCAATTTTTTAAGAAATGTGAAATCAAGTAGTTGATATTGAATTAATAGAGAAGGTAACACGATTATTAAGAAAAATATGTTTGTCTGTTTGATATTGAATTGATAAAGTAAGAATAAAGTAAAAATGATTTAGAGTCACTTAATGGGTCTTTCTGAAAAGGTAAAATGGAACAATCTTAGCGGGACGAGTGGAGTATAATATAAGACAGTTTTAGGGACGGATAAAGTATTTTTAAGATAGAAATTGCTCTAAATAGGAGCGAAAACGTTTTGAAATTCCAAAATAGGAGTATCATGTTTTTTATTCCCTGAATAAGAGTAATCTGCCAAGTTTGTAACAAAATGTCATGTTTTAAAGCCTAGTAATGTCAAATTTGGAAGAAATTTATTCCTATTCAAGAATAAAAAACATGATACTTCTGTTTTGAAATTTCAAATTTTTTTTACTCCTATTTAGGGAATTCTTTCAATTTTTAAGAGGTAAAAGAATCATTTAGGCATGGCGACCAATGTTAACAAGAACACATTTGGTTGCAGATGTTGATCAGGACTTTATCAAGATGTTTCACAGGATGCTCTGTCAGCAAATAACATATAATTACAAAGTAGCAGAGCAATTAAAATAATTTCCATCTAATCAAATTCAATCTTATGCGCACTTAAAACTCGCACGAGAGATCATGGAAGATCTCTTATGCGTGGAAGGTGTTCGATTAAAAGCTCGATAGAGTTTGAGGAATTTGGTTGCAGCTTACAAGAAAATTAGAATTCACACATAATGGAGTTGGTGGGTCGGCATAACTTATTCAACATTCTTGATGAACTCAACATTTGAATTCATCACTTTAAGAGGAAAGAAATGTGGAAGAGTAAGTACGAGAGCGCGGGAGGGGACGTGAAACCTGCATAAAGGGCAAGTATGACGACGAGGTATTCATCTCAACAACCAGTTGGAGATGCAATTTACATGGAATATGTGATCACATGGTAACAACTAGGGATGGACCCGGGCCGGGGCTGGGCCCGGACGGGCTTTTTTCCCAGGTACTTGGGCCCAGAATCGACCCGGGTTGATACCGGGTCCGGGCCTAACCGGGCCGAGCCGGGTCCAGTTCAATGTTTTTTTTGACTTTCTTGTTATCCCTTACACCCCCTCACGCTCACCCCCAAACCACCCCTAAACACCCAACCCTACCCTAGGAAAAGAAAAAATTTGAAAAAACAAAAAAAAAAAAGCCCGGGCCCGGTCCGAACCGCCCGAACCGGTTCAACAAAAATGGGGCCCCAGCCCGGCCCGCCAAAACAAACTAAAAGTCCGGAACCGGCCAACCTGGCCGAACCGGGCCCGCACAGTAGCGGGCCAGTCCGGTTCCGGGCCGGTTCGGCCCGGCCCAATCCATCCCTAGTAACAACATTGCTCCAGTAGCCCACGAGGCATTGTGTCGATGCTCCTCTCGAGCGGGAAGAATCTCATCCAGACATTGGAGGCGAACCATCGTAAACTCAAATGACCAGGATCCATAGTTCTCAAAACATATTGCACATCTTGTTTCCACTTCTCCTTTCTCTTCGTCACCGTCAAGCTCGAAGAAGTCATAGCCATCAGGAACTATCATCGGTAGAGGCATTGGAGACGATGGACTGTAAATATAACAAACTTCCCTGCCCCCCTGCCGCACGGGTTCTTCGAGACTGATTCAGTCCTCACGTGTCAAAGCTAAAGACAAATGTATAGATACACCCACATAGACCGAGAATGAATTTGAGCAGTTGTTATTGATGAGACTCAGTTTACCATTAA